GCAATGCCTGATCTTAAGTTATCAGTTAATGATTGGGAAGCACTTAAGGATCCCGTTTCGGTTAGTGTTATATAGTTTAATTAAATATAATTATTATCAAATAATATAATAATTATCATACCGGTAAAACAGACTAACCCCACAAACAAAAAAATGATTGTATAATATAATTTTTAGAAATGTAATGTTGGCGATACATTTTATGGCGTCGTCTTTCGACCCGGGTCCTTATCATTTTTCGGACAACTGCCCCCGACCCAGAGTAATATCATAGAACATTATAGAATCGAAACTCGATCAGCTGATTGGGGTATTGGTTCCCTATGATCTGAAGTCTGAACCTACGAAAAACATGGAATTGGTTCCCGCAGCAACATGATGTTAGACCCATTGTAATGAAATATTGAATGCTGTTCTTTTTGTATAATTTTTAACATTTATTTCAATACTTATTATATTTTAACATACATTTTAATTAATATTTGATTTTGTACAGTATGTCAATATATGGTATATATTATACTATTACGAATTCACAATGAAAATAATGTATTTAGGGGATAACACATAAACAGGGGAGGGGGAATCGTGCATTGAACTCACTGTGGTGGTTCGGAAGTTTGTGTGGTTTGGCGGCTCGGCTCTAATGGCGGCGGTAGGACGGTAGACGTTCCGTTGACGGTAAATCTTCCCGGATAAATGACGTATGCACAGCGGTTAAGGCTCGACTGGCGGCTCGGCTCGAACGGCGGAGGCTCAGCGAAACAACACGTACAAAATACTGTCTCACTACACACTCGGGCGGTGGCGGATGACAGGGAATTGCAGGGGAAGACCACGTGGATCACCGTATTACGGGGTTACCGTCCGGCGTCCGAGTCTCGGGGCAGTGTGCTGGTGTTTAACACGAAAAATTGGTCCGTCTTACAATATTAAATATTGTCCGGTACCAGATTTCTCGTATTACAGCGAGGAGAAGACTGTTGTCAATCGGTGGCCAGCGGCCTATATTTCTGTGGTTCCATGGCGGCTGGTCCCGATGAAAATTAGTCAAAATTATGATTGACCTTTTCTTTCTTTTCGATGGTTGCTGTTGATTGTTGACATCCGTGTAAGGACGTAACTTAAAGTATGGAAGGCGGTGATTACGAATATGTTTCTCCCGAACTTCTAACTTGTTTCTTTCTTGGTGAAAACTCAATTTTCTTAGCGGGCGGCGTACCGGTTTTCTAGCCGGTGCACGGCAGCGCTATCTGTTTTGCGATTTATTCACGTAGGCTGTGTTGTACAGTCGGCCGGCGGCGTATTATTATTGCGTGAGCGCGCGGTGGTTGTTGTATTCGTTTGGGTGATGGGACAACACTTAAGTGCACCACGTGTTTGGTGACTCGGTTTTGTTCCATTACACCGTATATCAAGAATTGGTTCCGCGACTATGGCGGGATACGGGACGCGGGGTTCTCACGTATGCCACGCCCTCCTGAAGACCGTGTTCAAGGCCGCAATCGCCTGGTTCGGCCAACGCACGGAGTTTCGTATGCCTGGTAATATAGAGGAGCCGTTCGATTTTGTATTGAGGCGAAAGAGGACTACTTGCAGTGTGCCCAGATAGCAAGGAACAAAACTATTGTTTAAATTTTATCTTTTACAAAATAACATATGCCTTTTAATTGTACAATATAATACATTTATTATTATGCGTTTTTGCATAATAAATTAATGTACTGTGAATTATTAATAATAATTGTTATTATTATAATAAGATAGTAGTTGTGACGAAACTGATGGCGGCATAAACTATCGTAGACGTAGAGTAGTATAAAACAGAAGACAAACTATACTTTACTTGGAATGAGCTTTATTTAGGAGTAATTATCATGAAAAATACATAATTAAATAAAAATAATAGAAAATATCTCAGCAACATCTTGATAATATCTCAACAACTGAAAATATAAATTCACTGAGGCTTTAGTAGTTAACATTTCACCATACAAATAATAGGTACAATAACTTGAAAACAATTAATAATACATAGAAATATTAGAACAATAAATTATTCTAAACTTAATCATGGAAATGTATCTATTGACTTAATTATAAGTAAAATAATATTCATAACAAATTACGCATTTTTTGTAGCAGCTTTTCCACCAATGTTTTATAATGTATAAATATATTATATATATGTCGCATCCACTTAGTGAAATCGCTCATTTCATGAAGTGGATGTCCACTTCATGAAATGTATCCATTTAGTGAAAATAACGTTTTACTACACTATATGGACAATTTATTGACCTTTTCATGAAGTGGATGAAATTAATTTTATCCACATTCTGTAATATTACTATTATATACGAGTTAGGTTATTTACGAGTTTGGTATTGGGTAATTGTACGATTTGCACTAGGTAATTGTGGATAATATGATAATAATTAAATAATATAATATAGGTAACCTTAAATAATGAAGTATAAAAATTAAATTAAAAGTTTTCTTAAACTTTATTTTATATTTTATATTATTTATTTTTACATGGTTCAGAGTTATGGCAACGACTATTGCACAACATTTTCTTTAAAAACAGACAGATCTTGATTTTTGACATGGGCTTTGAATTACATGAACAAGAAGAAAAGCCTTGTCCATCTGTTGTGACTTTAACAGTCTCTCGAATAGTTAGCACTTTGTCCAACAAAACCTCGTCACTCGTTAAAAACTTCTCACATTTTTTTAAGGAATCTCCTCCTTACCATCCTTTAATCATTTCATGTTTAGTCCCTAACTCAAACAGTTTATTCTTTTTTTCAACAACTAAACATAAAATATTTGGTGGATCTGTAGGCTCTTTGTCGACTTTTGGAATAGCCATTACCACACAATTGTCAACTGGATGTCAGGATCATACATTATCTGTATATTACTATGTATCTGTTCAATCATATTCAATTATTTGATATCTTATCTTGAAATTACCTGATCGACTGACGGACCAGTTTATACAGTATACAAGTTACAAATTATATCAAGCAACTTTTATATTTATTTTAGAGCCAATTAGGTACCTAGTGCAATTCGAACAATTACCCAATACCAAATGTAAAACATCAAGATGTGCCTGTTTTAAAAAAAAAAATATAAAATAAAGTTTAAGAAAACTTTTAATTTAATTTTTATACTTCATTATTTTAGGTTACCTATATTATATTATTTAATTATTATCATATTATACACAATTACCTAGTGCAAATCGTTCAATACCAATACCAAAAATACTCATGTATAATAGTAATACTATTACAGAATGTGGATAAAATGAATTTCATCCACTTCATGGAAAGGTCAACAAATTGTCCATATAGTGTAGTAAAATGTCATTTTCACTAAATGGATACATTTCATGAAGTGGACATCCACTTCATGAAATGAGCGATTTCACTAAGTGGATGCGACATATATAATTATAAACATTATCTTGAGTTCTTATAAAATTTAATTTGAAAACATGCAGGTAGCATAAGCATTATAAATAATAAAAATAAAAGTTGTATTCATTATCCTTTGAAAAGTGTTAATTTATTATACTACATGCGCATTGAATGTGTTTCGTTACAGGATTTTAATGCATGTTTGACTTTCAAATTGATGTATGTGGAAGCAATTGATTTAATCAAAAGAGTTGGGTGATCAGATAATGGGGTGTTGCTTTCTTGACTATGAGTTTTCAAAGAACTAAATATTATAGAATTATTTAATAAGTGTTTTAGAACTTGAGTTTGGATTAGTAATTTATTTATGGTTTTAGTTTGATAACTGTAAGATTTTAATAATTTTTCAGTTTGGAAACAAACTAAAATAACGCTTTGACTTGGATAACTAAGACCATTACGATTTCCACCTTTGTTTTTTAACGTGATTAAAGAATTTAAAAATTCATTTTTATCTTCAGCATACAATGATTTTACGCATGTTTCACAGTTAAGCACAGAAGCTAACTTATAAACAACAAAACCAGCAATATATATAATTATTTCGTTTGAAAAACTACTAAACTTATATGTATTAGCGTTAACTAAATAATCATGATAATTTATAAAATACTGAACATCAACCTGATTTTCTTCTTGAATAACCACATTTAAAGAAATATTAGAAACATTGTTATTAATTGTTTTAACTGGATCAGAACTTGAGTAGTGCAATATATCGATATGTTCTAAAGGTATCAGTTTCCTGTGTTAAAACTTTCAATATCATTTATTTTAATGACCAATTTACGATACGCGGACATAAATTGTTTCGATGTGGGATTATTATTATACCCACCTTGAGCTCTTATACATCCAAAAAACAGCTCTATATGGTCTTGGCTTAATTTATGCATTTTTAAATATATAAAAGAATCTATTAAAGTGTTATATAATTTCAACATGGAGTTTAAACATATTATGAATCCAATGAATCCTGTTTTTCTCTTTGATTTTAAGATGCTTACATAATTGTCATCATTAATATTTTCTTTTTTTTCAATCCTTTAATATACATTTTAAATTCATCAACCAAATTTGAAATATCCATAACATTTTCTTTACACAAGGCTTTCTTACTACCAAGACAATTGATTGACCTAGAGTTTAAAATATCAAAAGCTTTATTAAATATTTCAATAAACCTTATGGTCCCATCACAATCAGAAAATTCTTTTAACATTAGATTATTTTTACAAAATCTTAATGCATCGGCTACTGATTGACTTAACAACTGCGTTGCAAGTTTCACCTTCATTTTTGGATTACAATAAAATATATGTTGTTTCTTCAACTTGTTCCCCAAGTGACAGCCTTCTTTTTCTTGCAGTTTAAATAATTTTTGAATAAAATCAAAATCTATTATATTGTTTTCATTGTCAAGGAACTTTTTTTTTCACCTAAAGCATTTCTAACTAGTTTTACCGTGTGCGCCGGGTCTAATAAAACAACAATCTCATGGTCATTAAATTAAAAAGTACTCAAGCCATCAGCATAAAAATTACAGCCAAAAAGCTGAGACATGGTAACATTGGTGGAGCAACCATCAAAAGTTAAGCTTACAACAGTTAGATTTTTAATATTTAATAATAAGTTCAACGCATTCTTAACTAATTCAGCATTTTGAGAACTATTTAAACTATTTACAAGGAAGTAGCCAATTGGATGTTCCCAGTTTTCATTTACTGAGACGATCATAATTACCAAACACTCCTTTGCAGCAGTCCAGCTATCATTATTTATGCCATTTCCAAGATCGATGTGTTCATAGTAATTAGTTCCGTCATAGTCAATATGTTGGCGGATGGCCATTTCATCCAGCATTAGGGAACATATAACTGGATCACTTGTATTTTGAGATTTAAGCGATAGAATTTTGAATGACTCTTCTGTGAAGCCAGGATTGGCATTAACAGAAGAGTACCATTTGCTAAGCGTTCTTGGGTGAGGCAAGACTGTATTAAATTGCTTTCGCACATAATTATAAGTTTTGCATGAAAAAAAGTGAAGAGATAAAGCAAACTGCCTGATTTCTGGAGAATATTTTTTTGGTACTTTGTGCCCCAGATTTTTTTTTGACCAATTACTAATTAAATGTGTATGCTTAAAAAAGGAATCAAGTAAAACATTATTGGCTTCATCATTAATCAAATTTTCCTTTTGAAGTTTGGATATAATTGATTTTAATGAAACAATTTTTTTGTTTTGGCGACGAATGGTTTGTTTTAATACCTTCAACTCTTTGTTTTTTATATTTATTTCCTTACTGAGCTTATGAATTCCACGCTTTAAAAATTGCCGTTTGGGTGTTCCGCGCGACCGAGCGTCACCGTCGTTTTGTGATTCCCAGTAATAAACTTTAAATTCGACATGCAGATGATAAACGATAAAGCCCATGCCTATACACGATACCCCATCCACCATAATAGAGAAACACTTTACCTATTCACGATAAACCGATTAGGTTTATTACAAATTCGTGGAAATCGTAATATTATTGTTGTATTTCTAGCCGGGGACACTGGAATTCCACGTATTTAATTTAAATATTTTGCAATTAAACAAATATTGTAGGAATTATAATGGGAAAAATGAAAATATTATAATTATAATATAATTAATTATTTTATACATATAATATTTATTAAATGGTAAATAAATTGAACGTCTTAAAAATTGATCAAATTCATTAAAAATATAAACGTCGATCACGTTCACGTTCTATTTGCAAAAAACGAGTGACGTTCACGTATCGTTCACTATATGAACGACGTTCTTTCCAAACACTGAGTTTGGCCTAGGCTGTATTTATTTATTTTTTTATTCAGCCAAAACAATTAAAATTAAATAATTACTGTAAAATATATTAATAATTGCTGATACGAACACTAACTGATCTATTAGCTCGTATAACACTTGATTAACACGTCAACGTCTAAGCACAAATTTATAAACGCAACAGTGCGTCAACACTACACAGTGTTTCTTAACCTTTTTGATATTACGGAACACCAAACACATATATTGTTTTTATGCGGAACACATATGAAAATTGTCTTTAAAAAAAATATGTAGGGTAATCGATGATTGCGAAGGACCATTCGATAGATTGAACTTGTTGTGATTTTATCTACCGAAAAAAATGAAGGCGTCTAGGACAGGCAACCAAAATTGGTTATATTTTATTATTTTATATTATATGCGCCTAACAGTTTTTTCAACCTTAGATTAGCCACCTCTGATCTTTAGTTATTTTTAAATATTTTTATAGTGCTTCGCGGAACACAGGTTTAGAAATACTGGTATACAATGGCTGAATTGCACAATGCTGAATTTATTGACGTCGGTTCAAATCCACCGCAAAATATTATTGTTGAAACTAGTTTTTGGACACAAATACAAAATACTACTCACCACGTGGAACAGAGTACAGAAACTACAACAGTCTTTTTGGAAACAATGGTCTCAAGATTATTTGGCCACACTACAACAAAGCTCTAAATGGACAACTTCCCAGTCTAACCTTCAAGTCAACGATCTAGTCCTTGTCAAGAAAGAAAACATGGCTCCCACTAAGTGGCCCCTAGCCAAAATTCTCCAGGTGCATATCAATCCTGCTGACCATCTCATGCGAGTTGTCACCTTAAGACTCCGGATTCGGTGCTAAAGCGTCATATAACTGAACTTATAAGACTGCCCATGGGACATTAGTTTAAACTGATAGCAAACATTTTAAGCAACCTTAAAATTAAAAAAGTCAACAGCAATAATAATAATCGACACTTCAAATATTGGGTATAATGAAAGAAAATGCAGCTTCAAGAAAAATGAAACCGGAAGAGAAAATCATGAAACCAAAACTTCCTACTGTATTTGAAAATGTAGACGAAACTGATATTTTTTTTCTAAGTATGTCCAAAATGAAAAAACTAACACCACCAGTAGAACAGGCCAAAATTAAATTATTATTAAGTTATTCTGTTCTAAGTAATTCTCCAAGCAGAAATTAGAAATGAGAGTAACCAAACAGCTTCTCTATCTATGTCTTCTCCTTTTCCATCTGAATCAACTACATCATAATCTCAGTATTCAACATCTAATGAATCTCAACTTCACTACAAGCCCACACTTGGGGAAATGTTAAACATGAGTCATTACATAGAATTTTCTAATTATTAATAAAACAATTTTCTTTTATGAATATAATATATAACTAGCTGTCCCGCCCGGCGTAGCCGTGAAAAGATTAATTAGTTCCTGAGGGAATATAGGTAGTAAATACGACCATAGAACTTCATTATGTTGTTAGGGTATTTTATCGGTAATTTTAATTAATTTTTATAATCAATCAATTTACATAATTGTTAAAAATATCTAATTAAATACTTCAATACTAATATTAAAAGTATTTGATTATTTATTTAAATATATTTAGTAATTTCATACTTAATAATTTCAACTTTCTGTAGAGTTGTTATGCATTGTACATTCAGAGGTAATTTCCAAGAGGCATATAAAACAAAAAATAAACGTCGTATGATAGGACCTATGATGGAAAAAGCAATATCATAAATTTGTGTTGATGGACTTTCAAGCAAAACATGTCGAGAAAGAGAAGCAGTACGTCTCATAAAAAAGGTATTTTAATTGCCATTTATTGAATTGACCAGCTTCTATCCTATCATAATTGCATTCAACAATCAACACATTACCTTATGAAAATACTTTAATGTATCAAGTGTATCATATGACTCATTTTCTGTAATTTTTAGATTCACCTGATCCGTCCATAATTCCACCTGGTAATTCACTACACATTTTAAAGTCACGAGTGATATCAGGCAGTCGTAGACATGAAGATACCATTAGATTTGATGAAAAAGGAAGATGACTTTAAATACATAATGTATGATATTGGATGTGATCCTTTCTACTTACCTACATTAACATTGTGCTGATCAAATCCAAATCTATAGAAACTACTGTAAAGGATCAAGACCTAGACTGATCAATAATGCTACAGGTTCGGCTGTGAAGAAGTTCTCAATGTTGAGCAAGCAAAAAACAAGCTTAAGTTTCTTGTATGAAGGATTGGTCTACGCTCCCAAAATAAATGTAGTTTTACAGTTACTAATATGTTGATTGAGGAGCATAAGAGTTTGGCTATTTATCATTGGTTCCCCCGCTGGATAAATTGTGATGTTCTATGTCTAAAAGAACTCTATGTGATCAATTCATGACATTGCTTTCTGCCATTAAAAAAAGTTTTAATCACTACAGGATTACCTTCATCATTTTTTTTAGCCTGAAGTCAACAGTTCGAATCAACATGAAAAGAAAAATCTAAAGCCAGCAGAAATTAAGTTTTTTTTCATTAATCATTTTGTAATGCACTAAACAGTATTTATATTTATTTATGTATAATGAAAAAAAAACATGATGTACAAAAAAAAGTATTTTTTTATCAACTATTTATAATTTCCTTACATCACCATTAAACGGGTTAAAAGTTATAATTGGATAGAGTAAGATGAGACAAAAAGCTGCAGTTTTTGCTGGAATGGCTTTATCTGTTTCAAATTCAATGCGTAAATATACAGTACATGATTTTACGTTGTAGTTCGGTCTTGATAAATCCACGACAATGATTGGTATTGATGAAAAATATTTTTTGGAAGTATAGGGTCAATATATTCTCTCGTAGTATGATTTCTGGAATTCAGAATACGCCTTGTACCAACAATATCGCTGTAAAGTTGATTATGAAATCTGCACGGAAATAATCTTATGGATATACTTCAGAGTTTAGGTGTACTTTTAGATTTTTCAGGTAGCAGAGATCAAATCGACCTGATGGATTATTTTTTTTTTTCAATCGTTTTGAAATCCAATTAATGCGAATTTAGGTTCTCTATCAAACTGCTTGATTTAACCGTCTATGAATGAGAAGTGTTCTGTGGGAGAGTTGGATATTCTCACGTTCTCAGCTAGAATATGCTGCTCTTATTTTGGTCTCCTATTTCCTTTATTTTAAATCAAACTCTTGATTCCATTCAAAACTCTTTTTTTCAATTTTTATACTTTAAATGAAATGTTCAACGCCCTTCCCATTCTGGTCAGTAAGGAAAATCTGGATTTTTTAATATTCCTACTTTTAGAAATCGTAGAAAATATCTATCTTTTCTTGTTTTCTTTAAATTATGAAATAACAAAATTGAATGCCAAGACATTTTCGAAAAACTGAATTTTTAAGAAATAATGATTTATTTAATTTAAAAAAATATTTAGTAACTATTCTTTTTCATCCCCGATAAATTCATTGATGTCATATGTCAATTCAGTAAAATTCGATTTGTTTTTTATTTTTTGCAATATAAATAATATAAAATCAACATTTAATGTATAATTATTAATAATGTATTTCTATAAACTATTTTATTTTTCCATTTCTCTCATATACTATATTTTAAGTTGTATTAATATAAGTTATTATAATGTATTTTATTTGTAGAAACATTTTACTTGTTCACTGTTAATTCACTTTAAATTGTTGTTAATTATTAATTATTTAATATTTTGTAAACTCATCTTGGACTGTATTTATGTTATAAATAATATATTATCACTAAATGTAATGTTTCATCATAGGTATTTATTATACTGCAATCTATACTACTATATAAAATGAAGTCGCTTTTTTTGTTCGGGATAAACTCCGAAACTACTTATTCAATCGTCGTGCGATTTTTTTTAAATAAAAGAAGACATCACAGAGAAGGTTTTATTCATAAATTTAGTCCGATAAAGTTAATAAATAATTAGTAATTAGTTATTAATTAAAATAAACGTATAAATTATATTCCCATATATATTAGTATAATAGTATAAATATTGTGCGGCATGGCGGCCTACGGGTTTCCAACTACCTGAAACAGGACCTTTTTTCTTTTGTGTGTGTTTTATCGGAGAGTAGATATGAATAATTGTTCCGAGAAGTAAAATTCAGCAATCTATCTTTATAATATATTATACTATCTATATAATATTCAAATTAAATATATATTCCTTTGGAAGCGGCATGACGCTTGAATGACTGGCCCGATTTCGCTAATTATTTTTTTTGTTGTATTCGTAATTGTCAGGAGAAGGTTCTTAACTCTGAAGTAAGATAATTTTAAAAAAAATCCACAAGAAAAGTAGGAAATCTGGATTTAGGTGCCATCTATGATCTATCGTGTATGAAAAGAAACTAAATGATAATATATTTTTGTTTATTGTAAGGTTGCTATTGCTAATTGGTCCTGATTAAATAATGAAACGAATTTTAGACCTGTAGCTTTATAGCAGATACCTTAGTAAAAAGGGTATTCTCAAGTCTAATTTTTCGACACATGCAACACATAATATCAACGTGTTAACTGTTAATAAAACATTCGTAATTACGTAGGTACGCAATTCGAAGGGTTTGCAATCCACCACGGGTGGATTGCCTACCTGAAAACATTTAACATACTGAGTGTCTCATATACACTGAATATTAAATAAACGAATTGAACAAAGTTTGAATTTTAATAGAGTTGGTACATATTTTAACGAGCAATGAAGTGAACGGGATAAGCTATAATATATTTGCAATTTATGCGTTTCTGAGTCCTTGAACTTGTACGTATAAGTTATAATATTGAAAATGCATTTCACCTGAGGTAACTTTTGCCAGGACAACGCCGGGTGGGACAGCTATAGGTAAATATAAATGAACCCTTGTGTGTAGAATGTAGATTAGACCTCTGGGAAGAAGACAGGTAAATTAATTTAAAAAGGGTAAAATTTGGTTATTTTTTTATTCATCGGATTTTAGTACGGTTAGGTTAGGATTTTGTATTAATTGATTATATTAATCCACCGTACGTGGAATTAAGTGAAAACGACAAACTTCGTATCTAGAGCTAAATCATACACTTACGTACAAAAATCACGGGATAAGATGGGAAAACCTATTGTTCCAGCCTTCACAAGCATTATTAGTTCTGTGTAGATTTGTCGACAGAGTTGTAACATTAACGTTCTATGACTCAGGTACAAACAATGGTGGTGTTCTACTTAAAATTATATTGTTTGTTTTTTTAACTTTCCTGAACGTACCTCCAACATAATTTTCATCAAAATACTGAAGTAGATCTTCTGCTCCAGTTGGACAATTTTGTTTTAAATAATTCATCCCCTCACAAAATTTATCCACAGGGAGAAAAGCCAATAAATCCATCATAACACAATATAAATTGAAGTTTTCGTTCTCTTTATATCGCTTACTCAAGTCCAGGTTTTGTATTTTTCTGTAAGTGCTTTGCGATAAATGATAAAAGCACCCTCGAATTAAAATGTGTTCACCAAAAACTGTTTTGACAGCTTTTTGAACTGCGATTTAAAAATAAACATTAAAGTATAACGGATAGTTTGCGATTGTTACACTCATTCAAAATTATTTTGAACATTTCTTCATAAGTGTTTTGCGTTTTTAACTCAAGTAAGCAAAACACTGGCGTAATAAAAATGTCATTTACTGGGATTCGAATGACGCATAGTTGTAAAAAATCTAAACCAAAATTCCCATCAATAAACCAGGTATCGGCATTTGCTAACTGTTCTAATGAACTATTTAACGAAAATATTATAATCCGTTCACTTAAATCTGGACCATTATCTTTCAATAAAAGTCGCTCGTTCCCACAACGTTTCCAATCATCTAAAACCATAATACAAATAATGATGAATTTTAACTTATTTTTCCGTTAGTAATACTCCACATTATAAACATTTATTATTATTTATATCCAATAATCCAATAGGTTATAGTATTTTTAGTTTTTAAGCGGAGTGATTAAATGTATTGATTGAGTATTCGAAATAATGCATTGATTTTCAAAAGCGCCAGGAAAAAAAAACTATTTTACGCAAAATCGGTTTTAAATTTTATAAAATTTAAAAACTATTTTGTAGTAAACCAAGCCATTTATAAATTATTATAATAATAGGTAGGTAATGCAAATTACATTCAATAACAAGTTCTTGTAGACTTTTTGGTTTTTTCGGGTTTAAACTGCTTCTTAGGATACGAATACTTCTTTTTATTGAATCTTCGGATGGTAATTCAATTAATATCTCTTTTGGTACATTTTGTACAGCTTGAGCAAAAATTTGTCCTGGATTGTTGCAAGTCTGAAGTGAACATTCCTTTATCGTTTGTTTTATTTTCATTGCTCTTATTGCACCTTTAGTAGCACCATGACAGTGTTCTTCTTCAAATCGTATGATTATTTTCATTTTCAAATTAGTAATTAACATTGCTGTACATTGCTGTACATCGACGATTTTTTGGAACATTTCCATCGGATTATACGTTGGCATATCTTTTTTATGGTATAAGTATACCCATTTAGTGCAATTTTATGATTTCCCTTGTTTGATTTAATAAGTTCCTTGGTAAAACAATTAAACACTACACTCGCGACTCGCGTACAACTCGAAACTAATACGAAACTGGATACGTATGATAGGTATATGGTACTGTGTGTAACTGCCAAACTATAGATTATGTCAATTAATTGTCATGTTCCCTAATATCAGGTTTGGGTGTGAACTTTTTTTGACACTGGTGACATTCAAATGTCTTAATCTGATGTCTTTTCTTGTGTGGATTGTTTCCGGAACCTTTAATCCCATAAATGCTTGTACTCGTTTTTTTGTTTTTTTTTTTCTGTGGCTGCAAACTCTTCACCGTCTGTAATTTTTTTGGCTCCATCATTATCCTTTTTTCTGAAACCACGTGACCTAGAAATATAATTTGATTTCCAAGAAATTGTGATTTTTGTAGGTCAATGGTGACGTTGAATTCTTTGAATATTTTAAATACTAGTTCTAAATGCTGTATATGTTCTTGAAAATTTGTAGACATGATATGGTTATCATCTACATGTATTGCAGCAAACTGTAAAATTCTCGTTCCTAGTACCTACTTTGTCAATGATCTTTGGAATTTTGCTACCGAGTTTACCAACCAAACAGCAAAACTTTGAACTGGTAATTCCTCACTTTGTGTAAGAAGGCTGTTATTTCTCTGTTGTCTGCTGCTAATTTTCATAAGATGGAAATTTTTTATCATGTTTTATTTTTCTCTTTTTTTCATTTGTGTGTTTGTTTTTCCTCACTACCTTTATGATTGGTATCCACTTCAAATCCGTTTACATTATGAGGCCTAATTGACATGGACAATTCAGAATATGTTATAAATCCAAATCGTCTAGATTTCAATTTTTAGATATTAAAATGATTAATAGCTAGCTAAAATATTAAACTAAACAAGAACGATAAGACTTATATTGAATGATTTAGGTTTTCGAAATATTACGAATTTGAAAAAAATATCCAAAACTTAAATCCTTCAATAAAAATCATATCTGTATGAAACCTTCGAGGATAGAAGCAGAAGCGTCTGTAGACCAGTTCCCAATTTTAATAAGTTTTTTAACTCAATTATTAAGAAGATAAATTACATGTTCAAAATTTAAATTATTCAAAAAAAAAAAATTGTTGCCAATTTCTTAAACTTAAAATCGAGACTCGTCTTTCTTGTGTACAGAAATTTGATCTCGAGGTGTCACAGCGTTGAACCTCGAAGATTTCAAGACGATACAACTAACATTCAATGAGCTTGTGCCTTGTACTGCAAAATGTACATCCAGTTAAACGTCTGGTTGTACGAATAATCACATATTGCGTTTTTCAACTTTTTGCTTTTCCGATTAAGGTCGAAATAATGGTCGTACGTACTTCAACCATAGAGCCTTTTTGAATCTCGTACGCCAAAAGAACAGAATCTCGAGTTTCGTAGTGATCAAACAAAAACCCAAAATCCAAAATACACGTAATTACGTAATATTCCAAGTACAAAAAACACTCAAAAAATCATAACTCCCGAACTAAAAGTCGGATAACCTCGATCTCGGTACCAATCGATACAGCGCAAAGTCCTCTATAACATTCGACTACAAAAACAGCTCGCAGCGCCCAAAATCTTAGTGTCAGTACCGAAAACCCCGAAAAACGCAAATTTTGAACTTTCGAAGCCCCAAAAGACGGAGAAAAACTGCTCCTATGGTCTCGACACAAGATGCTGAATTTGATCACCGACCCCCAAACTAAACAAATCTCGAGTTTCAGAAACTTCATACAAAAACTAAATCTTTTCCAAAATACACCTAGGGGGGTGTTTGAGGACCCCCGGCTCCGGGAGTAAGTTTTAGAAGGGCCTAAACCAAAACGTTTGGGAACATAAAAGTATAGTATTATCTTACTTGAACGTCATCTACAACTACTGAATTATTGAACTTCAAAAACAATTATAGGTACATATTTATAGAACATTCTATGCCAGTAGTTTACTTAGTAACTTGTGTAAGTAGTTAACTATTCTTATAATCACATTCATAATAAATCTATTTAAGAGTGTTAAACATGAACAATTGTTTAAAAAATTGATAAACTTTGAATTACAATTAGGTTACCTCAATTACCTCAAAATTAATTATACATTGGTCTGAAAATGCTCATAATTGAATGTATTTTGTTACAATACGATAATATTAATATGACATGTCTTGAAATCTACTAACGCTGGACCACGATTTAAGATAGTATGGTTGCCCATCGACTTGTGATAAGAAAGCCAGTACAGTGAATCTCACTTTTTTTACTATAGCAGCGCTCCAAGTGAGCAAAATAGTGTTGTTAACTCGTAATTTGCGCGATTGTTTAAATCATACGGAACACAATCACAAATAATAAAGTTAACAAAAATGTTTAATAATAATAATATATTAGTGTACCTATAATTAACATATTATTATATATCTATGTGGTCACTAATTTCGACAATTTCTTTTTAGTGGTTTTTAGTTTTTTATTATTTTGATTTTGAATGTATGTGTATTGTCTCATTATCATTATAAGGTAATGTGTATAAATATCGGATAATACAGTTTGTTTGTGTTCTTCACAATCAAATCTAAAAGAAATTTTCTTTTTTAAAAAATCTTCAAATGCCTCTTCAAATACATTTTGAGAGTCTTTAAATTTAGTGAAGGACAATTCAAGAGATTTTATTATTCTGAATAGATTGCTGTTAGGATGAGATAGATATCCTCTACTTTTAGCCATTACTAAATCTGCATTAGTACCGTAAGCTGTCGTATTCAGATTTTTGAAACTAGATGCACATACTTGGCATTTAGTCTTTGCAGTTAATCGCTTGGCCATATATCTAAAAAATTAAACTAAATATTAGTACTATGTTAATAAATAACTATTTATTTAAAGTTTGTTTTTTACTTATATAAAAACATACCCTGCTAAATAATATACTATACAGTCGAAAACAGTAGAATCAGAAAAATCGTGTTCTTGAAAAATTTCATCCTTATAAGGACATAAAGGTACACAACATGCCATTTTTATTATTATAATATAGAAAATAATCAAAATTATAGCAATATGCCAAATTGCCAATATAGTTGATTATCATATTATATTAACATTTAACATAGTAAAATATCAAATGATAATTAATATGACGTTTAGACTGTTTAAAGTATTATTATATTTATATAATATCAGTTCTGCCATCTTAGAGTATAATTCAAGTATACAATTTTAGGCGGTAAAAGTAGTCTGCATAGTCTTCATTTTCTCCGCTAAAAGCGCTATAGTATTAAAAACAGCTGATTGCTAGATTCATATTGACGGTCGTCGGATAAGCCATTTTACTGTAGTCGATGGGCAACCATACTATCTTAAATCGTGCGCTGGACAATAGTCAGTAGGTATGATAAATTAGTAAATTTCAGATGTATTTTATATTTGGTAGGTATGCAGGTACTCTATTTAGAACTATAGTGGTCATCTGTTTATGGATGAGATTAATCCCACATAGGAGAACGATAAATGGTCAAACCTTATATTTATCGATAGAGAATTTTATGGTGATTCCATTTAACTTGAACTTCACGAAATTGTCTGAAGTTAAATAGATAGCTTCAAAAAACCATTAAAATCCTACAAAATTCGCTTCATCAATAATCATAGATTATAAATTATGATAACGAATCATTATTCACTAGAACAGCGGTTCAGGTTTTAGATGTTTGAAAGTTTTAGTGGGTAGATTCAATCTTGTTCTATGATTCAATCAAAGCCGGATTGAGCTGGGGGGTCTAGCCGGGGTGGAGCCCTGGGGTCTTCTCAAGTACCACTGTGAAAAGGGGCCAAACAATTTTAAGCTGATACTTTTAAAAAAACACTTTATTTAGAGGTAATACCTAGAGGTATTTCCTTGTATATTTACTTCTTTAAAAATATATTTGATAATTCCTGTAGCAAATTGTTCTGTAAAGAGAGCTTTTTCTAAATTAACTAGAATAAAAAATAAGTTTAGAAACAATCAAACACAAAAAAATTTGGACATTTAAATTCAACATTAGCCAAGTAAAAAACTACAGATGTACAGTTACACAAGTTTAATATTTATGACTAAACTCAACACCAGATGGTGTTGAACAACTCGTTGTTTTAAATTACTTGACAATTAAATTAATTTGCGGTTTATTTATCAATAATTAAATACTTTTGTGGAATTTTTATGCAATTTACATATTGCAAATTTTTAGAAATTAATCATTATGTCGTCATTCATCATACAACTCATAATTATTTACAGAACCATTACGTGCACATTGTTGTGGCTGCAGATGTGCAAGAAAACCAAAACAACATATAACTTAGTAATTTCAGTTGTAAGGTCGTCCACAATCGGTAAGTCAATTTAACTTAATAATTACCCAATATATTAAGTTTTTGGTTACACAATTTTTGGAATGACCCATGCTGTTATTTTCCGGCAGCGCCTCAAATCAATCAAATGTCTACTAACAAATATAACTCATAAGCGAGATTTCCACTGATGTTTTTATTTAAAATATTTTCCGGAAAACAACCCTGCAGTATTAGTCCTATCTACCTTACAATCATAATTTACACTTCGGTTACGCTTTAACCCACTTATTTTACCGGCCGAATTCCGCCGTTTAACCTTAGACTAACTATTGTAATACGGGCCCCCTAAAACCTTCAAGGATCGAAGCAGAAGCGTACCTACCTAGACCATTTACCGAATCTAGGAAAAAATATCTAGTATCTGACATTAAACAATAACTAATTATATCACAGTTAAAAATCTTATTACATAAACCATAAGTCAAAAATCAAAATATATATAATAAATACTTAAATAACATTTGTGAACATGTCTTATTATAAAATATACAAGTATAGCTGCAATCTGCAGTTTTATAATA